ATAATTATCCTTGGTCCCGTTACTGGAAGCCCCTCGTTTCGGATCGTTAGAGAGGCTTTAAGATTTATATGTAGACATCGCCTTATCAGGGCCGGCAGATGCTTTACTTTTCTACTTGCAAAATCTACGACGAAAAGGGGTCGTAAACTTCGACAATTTACAACTTTATTGATCTCTTTTCTTTGACTTTAAAAAAATACCAGAATGAGTAATAAATCGGCAGAGTGAATAGTAAGTTTCCCAGGTTTTGTCAGACACTGTTTCGTAATACGATTTAACACCTGCTGTGGAGCACCCTGTATAAGTTATAAAGCTACAGATTCCTTCGTTCCGGCTTCACGAGCTCCGATTCTCCTTTGCATACATTTTGTCGCCTCGCTCGGCGGCTAAGATAAACAAGAAGCTTAACGTTTCCAGGACAACGAGCGTATATTCTTTCGGGACCATAAAGTCGTGCATACATTTTCGTGCCACTCGCAGCCGGACGTTTCCCAACTTTAAAATTCCGATTTTGACGAGGGCGCCCCGTTGAATTATGCAGGGAACAAGTTCTTTCCCTTCTTCGTGTAGATCCCTCGGATATTTACGTATTCGTCCGCTTCTAACGTCTCGTTAGGCGATACTGTTCCCATTCATGGACCCGTATCTTGTAATTTGCTTCGGTTCACTGAAGTGTTTCACCTGCAGCACTATGGTTTGCACCAACAACAACGCGTTTTCTTCGCTCGTTTACTTAACATCTTGCATCGAATCGCTACCTCAAATATATCTTACGGTAATGGCTGCCATTTAACGGATTCGAAGATACATATTTCGTGGGAATTTTTTAATAATTATGGAGATCAACAATATTTCGGGGTGTTTAATTAAAATGAAAATTCATGAACAAAAATTTTTGTTGAGTCATTGGGTCTGCAATAAAGAACCATTATCTCTCAAATGCAGACCCAGTTATTTTTTTTTAGGAAGTCTAAGAAAAATCTGGTTGGCTAGTCTTGCCACGTGTTAGAAAGGTTTTCACATTTAGTTTGATCCTTCAACCGTGTCGTGCTTTCAAATCGCTTTCAATAAATTGATTTCTTTCAAAGATAATTTTTATTCGACTTAAATAAACCACCACACTGCAGTCTTTGGATAAAGGTATCAGATATGTACATTTACCTTGATGAAGTAAATTAGCTTGCTCGATTCATAATTACACCTGGAACGTTTAAAAGAATACCTCTCGGTAACGACCTCATAAAATGCAATCCAAACCATTTATGGAAGCGTTACCTTCGAATATCTTCAGCCTCGCAAACAAGCTTCACTTTTACGCGATATCAGAACCGGCGTTGAAAAGGTATCGTGGAGATTTGTAAAAAAGGAGGATTCGATATTGGCCGATTCCGAATGCCGAGGACATGGAATACGAAATCCAAGGCGTAAACACGTCGGTTCGTATCGTCTCGAACCACTTTCGAGGTCTGTTCGTCTTCGGTGTTGGCGCGTAGACGCGAAGAGAACTGGTATCGCGATATCTCATGGCGGCTGCCGCCATTAAGCGTAGATTGCACTTTCGTGGTGGTCTACCACCACGGTCTATGGGGTTATTACCAACGACCTGCCACCCAAGATCCTGGTGGGTGTGCCTGCTCCGTTATGCTAAGCGGTGTCGCTCAATGTTCTTTTTTCGTGCGATTAGAAATATGGCGTCAAAATTAAAAAATATAACCCTTAGAGACTCGACATTTAGCGAGAGACTAATCTTAGGTCTTATTGATTCAGATAAATATATTTGTCACTGTTGTAATTTATTGAGAACCCTTGTTGATCTATTTTGTAAATTAGTAAATGAAAATTATCAGAGTAGGTAAAAATGAAGAAGTGCAAAAATGTCGAAAGCGAAGTAATTCAGGGGATGTTTTGACTTCATGAAAAATTTTTAACTTCATGAAGAAACTTGTACAGCTCCGTTTATGGCAATATAACGAGTGTATAGCGACTGTGGTAGCAGCACCACAGAAATGCGATCATTAATAACCTTCCAGTATCCCGTACGAAAGAAAGCATCTCTATCGATCGATGCTTGGTTATCGATTAGTAAGTGTCGCCCCGAAGCGACCACTCGTAACGTGAAATGTTAATCGTCGAAACTGGTTAAAGCGAGAACAAGCAGATACCCTGGTTTCATCACGCACCATCGAACAGCGATAGAAGAGCATCGGGAGTAGATAATTGCAATTAACGGAAGCAAGAGAGATTCGATGTTGTTCGGTATATAGGAGAGAGCATATTCGTTGATATCGGTTACGAGATTGTCGATTGTATATAGATCGACTGTTTCAACGATACCACTCGACCGTGAGCAGCTTTTCCTATCTCGTCTTAATTACAGCCTCAGAAGGCGTGGCGTGAGTCGATTTTGTTACCGAACAGCGATAGATACGAGTCTTCATCGGGTCACTCTTGGGTGTTCTGTTTCGTGGAAGCTGAACCTTAAGGGGATATCGATTATCGATCTTCCTGGGCAGATGGAGAAATTGAAACGGTGGGGTTGATAGGTTTGAAATTTTATGTGGTTGATAGGTTCTTCTGCAAAGTTGGTGGTAAAATAGATAATCAAGTTAAAAATTTATCAAGCAAAAATTTTTATTGGAATTCTTAATACATACTCGTATTAACAGTAAATTAGCAAACCGGTCAAATGCTCCACAAGTTTCTTGTTGTAAGATACACATTTTGTTAAAGTACATTCCTTGAAGTCAGCATTGATTTTCATCAAGATAAAGAATAAACGTATGCATTATTTTTTATGTTTTGCCGTTTGTTTATTTATTTTTTAGCTTCATTTTTAATTTCAATTTAAGTACATATGCCGGTCGGTTTAGTGTTAAGAATCGTTCGAAATGTCTGTAGAATATTTTGTCCTTTGTTTATTCATTTTTTAACTTCATTTTTAATTTCAATTTAAGTACACATATGTCGGTAGGTTTACTATTAAGAATCGTTCGAAATGTATGTAGAATATTGTGTCGTTTGTTTATTCATTTTTTAACATCATTTTTAATTTCAATTTAAGTACACATGCCGGTAGGTTTAGTGTTAAGAATCGTTCGAAATGTATGTAGAATATTTTGTTGCTTGTTTATTTATTTTTTAACTTCATTTTTAATTTCAATTTAAGTACACATATGCCGGTAGGTTTAGTATTAAGAATCGTTCGAAATGTATGTAGAATATTGTGTCATTTGTTTATTCATTTTTTAACTTCATTTTTAATTTCAATTTAAGTACACGTTCGAAATGTATGTAGAATATATAGTCGTTTGTTTATTCATTTTTTAACATCATTTTTAATTTCAATTTAAGTGCACATTATATACTTGCAGGTTTAGTATTAAGAATCGTTCGAAACGCACGTAGAATACTTTGAGTCCCTCAATTAACACATCATAACGAAACATATCCGTAATTCGAATAACCAATAATTGAACAGCCACAGAAAATTTCATTCCCATATCACACATCAGTTTATCGCGTCGATAATGATCGCGCCATAGGAAAACGTGATTTATTAAGCGACTTCGTGGCCCGGTCGCTCACTGACCTGCCTCGTTATCCTTATCGACGAAAGAATATCGTCAGGAGGAGGCATTTCCTGCTCGACAGTGTCACGTCCCTAATAAGATTGCGTTTACGCGCGCGCTCGTTCCCTCGCGACGACGTGCGCGTATTTTTCAGCGAGTCACCGACGCTCTTTCTTTCTACCCTTTACGTGGGGATCATCGGTAAACTGGCTGCGACGCGTGCGTCGCATATGTACGTCCCGTGGACGCGCTGAAAACGCGATACCCACCTTGGTCGACGACTCTGAACGTGTTCCTTGAATCGTCTCGCGCGTGACATCGATCCTCCGACGTTTATCGCGAGGGCCTGCGCGATTTTCTGACGAGACTCGAATTAATGCGATGACTACAGTGTTCAATGGGAAATTGTCGCTGAATGAAGTTCAATGTTCAATGGATGGAGTTAATTGGTATTGAACATGGGAGGAAAAATACGTGTTGCATTTAAAAGACACGATGTAGTTTATTTTAAAAACTTGGAAGAACTGCTGTGTCGTTTTCTGAATTAAAGGTGAAGGTTTAAAGGTTTGAAGAACATCTGCAACTTGTTTATTGTTCAGATCTTTAGAATCAGTCAGCAGACTCATAGACTCCATGATACTGATCTTCTCTTCATCCAAACATTCAGACATTTTTAACTTCTTAACACCTGTACCTATAACATAGGTATATTGAACTCGCAAATTTAACTTAAAATTGCAAATTTAATTACTGATTTAATATTTCAAATCGACAGCACAATTTTACGAATAATCCTCGTAATGTTTCTCTTATCATTCTTTCATTAAAATGCACTCTGAATTGATCTAACAATGATGTTGTGTCTTAGAATCGCTAAAATATGATGGCCATTGTGTATGCAGTTTGCAGGAAATTTGGAAGGTATTTTTACCTATCTGCGCTAATGCTTTAAACACACGTTCAGATCCCGCCAAACGAGTTCTATCGTGAAAACATAACCTCGTACCTGCTACCGCGGAACGATTGCAATTAATTGCACCGTGAACGTTCTATCGGATTGCCGTGACAGCTGTTTAGCAGCGCTAAGGCAAGCGTGTACGCGCGTTTACAGGCGGAAATGAATCGGAGGCGCGTATCGGCGTCGCCTTATTTACGCGAGGAAAGCGCACGTTGACGGCCGATGATAATTATGCAGTCTGATGCTTGATGATTGTAATAGTCACGCATTTTATTTTCATTGATTTGTTTTTCAGTTAGTTTTACCATTTGTGTTTTGGTATTTAGTGAGAAAGCAGGAAAGTTATTTACGTAGGACATTTTAGACAATTGTGCTAATGAACATAGTATAATTATTTACCTAAACGAGTTTCTACCTCTGTATGCAATTATATTATATTCAATTACATTAACAATCTTTTTTTTCTGTTGCAGGTACGTACACTTGGATGCTGTTTACAGGATCACGTAAGCTATTTTCACTTCTAAAACACATATAAACTCCCTTTTTAAATACCCAAAATATTACAAGACAAATCCCATGCAGATAATCCTAGACATACCGCAAGCAATTAATTTAAATTTAATCGAACGATTCTTTCAACTCTCGCGTGAATTTCTCCCCAGCAATTTCTCACGACATCCCGTTTTACGACCGCAACGATTACGCGTTAATGAATTCCTGGAGGGATAGGGTTGCGTTAGGTCTCTCTCGCTCCTTCACGAGAGGTTTTTTTCGATGCTCGTTTCCTAGTCTCGCAACAGGACGTTTCACTCGGTATAGAAGTGGCCCGAGTCGCTTGACAATTTAAGCTGCTTACCGTGGCGAACGGGATCTAATGCGAAGAGTAACTGCCCCTGGATTAACACGTTAACTACCAGACCAGGTTGGTTCGTCTGGCTGTTTCCACCTCGTGCCGCTTTACGTCGCGGAGGATCTCCATCGACGCACCAAGCAAATCCCGTCGACAGCGTTCAACTTAGCGGATAGGCTTGACTGCCTTTGAATTAGACGTTACTCGTGATGGCTTAATTGCTGTGGTTTGCTCGTTTCGATATTTGCAACGCTCGAGATAAGCTGCGAGGGAAGTGTTTTGAACGATTAATGAAATGCCGCATTTTTTATAATTATAGTGATGGCTGGCTCATCTAATTGATATTTCAAAATAGTACAATCACTCGGTACCTCAATGTTCTCTTCTCTCTGGCTTTTATATATTTTTTCAAGAAATAATTTTCGATGTTAATTGTTATTAGATCGAACAATTTTTATGATACAATGGACTGAAGTTTGAGGATCAAGGAGTAAATAGTAAATTCGTAAGTGTATTATGTGTTTCAACGTAGCAGCCATTTTGTGCTGAGAACTTTCATGAGACGTTTATTCAAGCTTCAAGCATTAATTTCATATAGCATACAAGCCATTTTGAATTACTTTTACTTCAGTGGTAGATACTAGACTTGATATGTCCTAAAATCGATCGTCCTTTGTTGTAACTGGCAGTCAGCCATTTTGTCTGTCACGTATATCCATGAACGAGTATCTAGGCATCTTTAAGAAGCCTCAAGCTTCAAATTCATGCATCATAAGTGCTACATTGCACTACTTTTATGTCATCGAATTATGTCTGACATAATATGTTTAAAAATTGGTGATGGTTCAATATAATTCACAGTCAGCCATTTTGTGTTAACAGAATCTATGAAACGTTTGTATAGACATTTTTGTCGAACCTCAAGCTTTAAATTCATGTATCATAAGTGCTACATTGCACTACTTTTATGTCATCAAATCACGTCTGACTTGATATGTTAAAAAATTGGTGATCGTTTAATATAATTCAGAGTCAGCCATTTTGTGTGAAGAGTATCTATGAAACGTTTATATAGACATCTTTGTGGAACTTCAAACTTTAAATTTATGTATCATGAGTTCTATTTTGCATTACTTTTATGTCATCAAATCTTGTCAGACTTAATATGCTCCAACATTGTTCATTCTTTATTGTAATTGACAGTCAGCCTTAGGAACATTTATGAAACGTTTGTACAGGCATCTTTGTGGAACCTCAAGCTTTAAATTCATGTATCATAAGTGCTATTTTGTATTACTTTTATGTCATCAAGTCTTGTCAGACTTAATATGTTCCAACATCGTCCATCTTTTATTATAATTGACAGTCAGCCATTTTGTTTTAGGAACATCTCTGAAACGTTTATGTAGGCATTTTTGTGGAACCTCAAGCTTGAAATTCATGTATCATAAGTGCTATTTTGTATTACTTTTATGTCATCAAATCTTGTCAGATTTAATAGCGTTCCAACATTATTCCTCTTTTATTATAATTGACAGTCAGCCATTTTGTGTTAGGTACATCTCTGAAACGTTTATGTAGGCATTTTTGTAAATCTTCAAGCTTTAAATTCATGTACCATAAGTGTTGTTTTTTATCACTTTTATGTCACCAAATCGAGCTATACTAAACATGAACATCCACAGTAGTGTAAGTCAACGATTCACCGACCATTAACAAGAATAAGGCACATATCCGTTTTCGAAAGAGAATGAAAAGTATAAAAGATCTAGGTTAAAGGTATGCCGTCCCGTGGCCGATCTGCACGCGTTCCGCTCGTTTTCCGCGTCGGCAGAGCGGGTAACTCCATCCGCGTGGCCGTTCCTCTCATCGAGGCTCTGCATTATTAGGTATGTTAATGATTTCCTGTTCGGCAAACGTCGTGGTCGCCGGATAACTTACCACCACCACCTGCGACCGCCTTGAGTACATTTGCCGACTTAATCGTAATGCCGAGAATAATTGGCCGTGGATCGCGAGTTAAGAGGTAACAAACGATCGGCCGGGATTAACGAGAGACGAATAAGCTGGCAACGGCAATTGAATGCGCACCAGCTCGGCCAGCAGTCCGTGGCCCGAGGCGATGATAAATCTGAGAAGCATCGAGCCAACCGTTCTCTCTCTCTCCACACTTTCTCTCTTACACGTCTATCGCTCTCCGAGAGATAACTGATTAATCGTTGCGTTGATATCGGCCTCTCCGGAAGTTGGCTTCGCTGGGTTCTGATTCCTCAATATGTGGCTGAGGTTGCAACTTGTTTGGTATCGACACCTCGCTCGGACACTTTGTTGCTGCACGAACGTTAGTCGAGTAATGCAAATAGAAGAGTGGTGGATGCAAGAAAAAGGGTAGTCGATGCAAGAAAAGGGGTAGTACTTTGTAAAGGGAGAGTTTGAATTGAAAAATGAGGGGGTCATATTTTAAGTGCAATTACGTCTGACCACGTACGTCTGTTTTCACTGCGCCATTTAACGTGTTAATGGATAGGCGATTTCGTTTTATTCGCGGCAGTAATGGGAGGGGTTGAACTATTCAGCACGTTCGAGAGCTTCTAATGGGAATAGCGGTATTTTTTTTAAATTAACGGCTCGAAGGGTGTTGAGTGTTCGCTTTAAATACCAAGTTCCCTCACGTAAATGCTATTACTAGTTCAAGTAAAATTTTACTATAGACCCATGTTCTAAAATAACAATGAAAAGTGTCTAACTTTTCTCTGCTACTCTTCAAAGCGTACTATATTTAAAACTTCAATTAAAATCCCTGTACTTCTTTCGAGATACGCTATTTCGAGCTCTTCGCCCGGAGCTTTTAGTCTCAACCTCGATCCGACTTCAAAGGTTCTGCATATCCGCTCGGTAAAGAATTCATACCCGACTTGAAATTAAAAGACTCGAGATTAGACTCGAAAAAGAATTCCAAGCAGAAAGATAACTCGTGTTTCGCGAGATCTTTATATCCAAAGCTCGCACGGTCGCGATATTCCAGCCGAGATAAGGCTGAGAAGGTCTCGTTCATTTTACCGAGTAATTAGCGGAGGTTGTACGGTCTCGTCAGAGGAGTGGCGCTAGTAATTTGTTGCGGCCTGGGAGAGCAACCACCGCTCGGTTAGCCGTTGCGAATCGCTCGCTGAAATATCGCGCCGAAAACACGCCGCTACTGCCGTGTTGATTTAAACCCGAGCGTGGAATCTTCCCAGAAGAAAGAGCTTGCCGGTCGCTGGAATTATTAGCGTGTCACCGTCCGACAGAATGTACGACAAGGTTTTTGAGCGCTCGCGAGGATTCAGATAGGCGTTCCGTTTCGAGGACGCCGGCTTTTCTTGCTCAACGCGCGTGTTTCGCGACCTGAGAAATATGTTGATGACGTGGAACAACTCAATCAACTTGCCTTCCTTTTTCTACCTCGATTAGCTCTGCCTTTGTTCTTTGCCCACTTTTTCAGAACTTCGGAAATTACAAATTTATCGCGAATGCGTTACTAATCGCCAGACAATTAGAATAGTTCTTATAGATTTATTCTTAGAGCTTTATTCTTGTAGATAAAGTTTATTTTTACATTCAAATACAACTACTTTGTAGGTATAAATACAGGCTTTTATAATAGTCGATACAATGGTGAATGAATAGAATATATATACGTGCATAATATATGTAAAAACTGCATATTATACGCGCATAATATATTGTTGCCATATATGTAACAAGATAAAATATGGATAGATGGGTGGACTTTTTAAAAATTTTTTCAAACTGTCTCTACTCTGGTGCTTTCTTTCTGTCCTGTTAAAAAAATATCACAAATTCTCTTGAAGTAAAGAATAGTCAATTTGTATAAGTGTAGAGAGCCCTATATAGCATGTCCTTTCCTAATAATTATTAAAATGATGCAGTAAGAATTAATTTTCAAACTGTCTCTACTCTGGTGCTGTCCTTCTGTCCTCTTCAAAAAATATCACAAATTTTCTTGAAGTAAAGAATAGTCATTTTGTATAAGTGTACAGAGCCCTATATGTATATCTTCTCCTAATAGTTATTAAAATGCTGCAGCAAGAATTAATTTTCAAACTGTCTCTACTTTGATGCTGTCCTTCTGTCCTCTTCAAAAAATGTCATAAATTCTCCTCAGATAAAAAATAGTCAATTCGTATAAGTGTAGAGAGTCCTACATATGCATATCCTTTCCTAATAGTTATTAAAATGGTGCAGTAAGAATTAATTTTCAAACTGTCTCTACTCTGGAGCTGTCCTTCTGTCCTCTTCAAAAAATATCACAAATTCTCTTGAAATAAAAAATAGTCAATTTGTATAAGTGTACAAACCCCTACATACGTACATCCTTTCCTAATAGCTATTAGAATGATGCAGCAAGAATTAATTTTCATTATATCTCTACTCTGGTGCTGTCCTTCTTCTTCAAAAAATATCACAAATTCTCTTGATATAAAAAATAGTCAATTTGTATAAGTGTAGAGAGCCCTACACGTACCTCCTTTCCTAGTTATTAAAATGGTGTAGCAAGAATTAATTTAATCCCATAAAAGTCGGTCGAGCAAGTAACTCGGGCAAAGGAGTAGCAAACGTCCCGAGGGAAGAAGCCGCGAAAGGTTCGATCCG